CTAATAAATGATTCATTCCATCGCTTGGGAAGACATGCAAGCTTCAAGGATAAATTGAATAAGATAGTAGAACACAGCTAGGGACATTATCAGGACCAGCAGATAATGAGATATCTATTGTTGCGAGAGCTTTAAACACATCATGATATTGAAAGTTTGAAAAATAAATATTGTTTATGTCTGGTAATTTATAGGGACCAAGATTAGTTTTTCCAAGCGCTCCCTAATTCCATCTATCTACTCTCCTCCCACAAATGGCGCTTCTACCTGTCTAATGCGGCGCCTAGGTGTTCTTGATACGACAAGTGCTACAAGTGCTTTTGAGCCTTTCTTATGTATGCTTCAAGGATAAATTGAATAAGATAGTAAGAAGATAGCAATGAATTTCAGAGCAGTTCCTTAAAACACAGCTAGAGACATTATCAGGACCAGCAGATAATGAGATATGTATTGTTGCGAGAGCTTTAAACACATCATGATATTGAAAGTTTGAAAAATAAATATTGTTTATGTCTGGTAATTTATAGGGATAAGAGAATTGAATTTATTCGAATCGGAAAAATAAGTTGTTTGAAAAATGACGCAAAGAGATTAGCAATACCTAGCTCAGAAGAATCTGAAATAATTTTATATGATCGGGAAGGAGGAAAAAGATTTAATTTACGTTTCATATTGACAGAAGAATAGAAGGAACTCGGATCATTACGAAAGATTACCTTACAGTTCATAATATTCGCGGTTTTTTCGCGGTCTTTCAGAATTTGGAAAAGCTCGTGCATCAGCTAGCATTCCTGCATTCATCATTCGAGACTTAGATGCCCAGACGACCAAGGAGCGTTCGAGAAACGATTTATTATTAATTTATTTTTTATAAAGCTAAGAGGAGTTAGTAAGGGAATTTAGGGAAATACATGATTTTAAATTGGTAGGACAGGAAAGAGAGGTGATAGAGTAGAGACTATTGTAATTCGGACATAAGACCCTAAGAGGGCGTTGTATGCAAAATCGAACTAAAATGACAATGGAATAGAGAACTAAAGTTTCTAGTACTTCTATGAGGAATTTTAAAATTTAAGCGTGTTAGTAAATGCTGGCTATCTACATGGCTGGCTAACTACACCCAACATTGTCCTAAAATTGGTTAAGCTTGGTAAGTTTATTAGTAAAAGTCTACTATTATAAGATGGAAGATGAAGATTTGCAGATGGAAGATGAAGAAACCGTGATTCCTATTAGAAATCAATACGGTTAAAAATGCGTATTGACGCGGATGAGCACATACCTAAGAAGGAATCCCGTTACATAATGTTGGGTTTAGTGAATAGCACTGAACAGTTGAGCAGGTCAACCGGTTATAAAAAATTCTGAACGCGTTCAACAAACTAGAGTACTGCACTGCCATATTTTAAGATGTCTCTCAAACATTTAATTGAGTCTGGCCAGAAGGTCTAATGTACAAGATCAAGAAATTGCTCCGCTACCAAAAAGATTTTAAAGTCTTACCTTTACGCGGTGTAAAAATGATTCCCTCATTTAGCGGAGGCTATTCCGAATGGCTTGAGCTTCCGTCAATGTTGTTAGCTATTAGAGATGTCAGCCCGGTCGGGTCGAGAAACTACTGCGCCGGCGGTCATGCTTCCATGATTCAGCATTGGAAACACTTCGCTCACTGGAATTGACAGACGGAAACTGTGATGTGGTTTTGGAGCTCTTAAATAAGAGGCTTAGCAACCGCAATCTTATTTTCAAGCGAATGTATAGGAAATTGTTAATTTGGGATAAGTTAAACGGGCATAATCGAGAATACTCCGTAAACTGTAAGATAAATTCAAAGTGCATATGCGGGCCGCATCTAGTATGATATGAAGTATTATCGCCCAGGTGCTGCTACAGAAACTAGATCACTAAGGATAAATGGTACGAGATGCAGGTGGAGCCGGAGGCAAAGTTCCTGGAACAGAGTGAAAGTGACAATTTCTCGAAGGTCCCCAGCTCGTCGGGCATTCAATTGGAAAGTCGAAGTCATGGTAACCACACTCGATCATCGCTTGTTTTTTCTGGGGCACCCGCTTCTGTGTGCCTGTTATGTGGCGATGCGTCCCAAATTATCCAATCCTGCCCTGCCTTCATCAGATTGCTCCTCCTCTTTTAGCCAGCGCCAATATCCTGGTGATGAACCGCTATGGGAAGTTTGTGCTCTAAACTAAATGGCAGCTTTGCCAATTTATCTGGCAGAGGCGATGCTGAAATAACAACGCATGGGCTTTCGGTAAGCTTCCATCTGCAGTCACAGAACGACAGCTACACTGCTCAACAGCAACCGTCTCTCTCGTTCGCACTCTCTCGTTTCGTTCTCGGTCGCTCCGCTTATCTTTGTAATGCGTTGAGACGCGCTTGGATTATTATTCTCACCGTCCCTTCTGATCTTGGATCTTTTGCGACTGATTGTTTACATTAGCTTAACATAAAATATACATAATAAACATAAACATAAAATCGGGTTTATTTTCTGAACAGGAATTTGGATTATTATTTTCCAGTTACGGAAGCGCTAGGTAACTTAACACTGATTATCTTTACAAGTTGTAGGTCGAGGATAAAGTCCGGAGTCCAGAGACAGTCATAAAATATTGTGACAGAAAACTTGGATTATGTGTAACTTAAGTTAGAGGTGGAAAAATAAGAATGTCTAAGAGTTATTCCGAATGAGGTCTAGCGGGTGAGTTCTGCGCATCTGTTCGCTGTTGTCGAGGAGAGTGGTCGCCAACTAGTTGGGGTGGTAGTGTAGCCTCTGAATGTACTTGCTGCTGCTTTTCTGTATCTCCTTCTTCACCCCTGGGATGCCAAGCACCTCATGGATTGTCTGGTTATCGTGTCTTGCTGGCCGTGCCTCAAAATTGGATCCCGTATGTCCAAATTCCATGGTCCAATATCCATGGTGTCCAGTTTCCTGTCTAGCACAAATCTAGGTACTTAGCGTTACTACTGAGAGCAAGTTTTTCTCCTTATTGGCAATTGGAAATTTCCAGTAAAGGCAATTGGGTCATTCACTGGATCTCGTGAATAGCTGTCTCCGTAGATCGACAATTCCTATACGCGTGCTGTGTGCCCGAAATGTCATTTGGGTTGATGGATGTGGAAGCTAATGAACCTCATTGGCTTGAGGAGAAAGGACGAAAGACTCATTGGTCTGAAGTCCTTTGGGGAGCAGTGCGAGTGTTTTCCCGCTATGGGTCAGAAGCCATCTGGGCCTCTAGACTTAAGTGGTCCCTTGGTCCTCTCTTGGTCCCGCGTGTTCGCTTGGTTCTTCTGCATTTGCTTTCCTAACTAAGATAAAAGCTCTACGAGCCGTTGTTTTATAGGGTGCAAGCGTTGGAGACCACCACGGTGGTTTCTTCGCTCTGCTGTTGCCCGATCTCTTTTTGGGACAAACCTTTTGTACCCGTTGGATGACGGCTTATGGGAGCTATCGAATCTTTATTTATTATGACGACCGCCTGTCCGGCGGATCTCTTTATCTTTTTCCCCTTTACCACTTGCCAGTCCATTGTGGGAAGGTGAGGATTGAATCTTTGGAACATGGTGATAATCAGGCCACCCACCATGATCGATGCCGGAGTCCAGATGTTCGCAGGTGACCTACAAAGAACTTCGCACCAGCTCAGAGCAACAAGTTTTACGCCCTTCCCTTAACCCAGTTTTGTAGAACTAGAAAAAAAAACCTCCACGGGTCGCTCATCGTCGCACACCGCCACCTTGACATTACCCTGGAACCACCCCAAGCCCCAAGACTGGTGCTGGGCCTGGTTCCCTATACAGTATTGTCCATCCATCTTCACTTGCCCCGAGGTATCTTCGGGGTTTTCCCGGTCAATTACTCCTATTACGGATATGCTCTTATACAGCTTATATAATATAATATACGGCTTATATAATATACAGCTATTTATTCACAGCTGACCTTTCAGGAAAGGCCATTCGCTATCCCAAACCTGCGACTCGTTTGGTGAAATCCTCGGGATCATCTCATAACTCTTCTCTAGAAGAGATCATCTCTAAAAAAAAATAAATCCAAAAATATTTATAAAAGTTTTGTTCATACTTATGGGTTTCAAAGTAATTATCAAATAAATCAGGTTTTTTAAAAATTAATGAGCCAAGTATACAACAAAAACCAAGTAAAAACAAGAAAGAAAAGCTAACATCGGGCGGAGACGAAGTTGATATACCCTTGCAGTTAAACCCGGATATATATCGCAAACATCGGATATAGTTGGCCGATCCTTATGATTACATCATAATAAAACCAATTAAATAAAATAAAAAATCTAAAAAAAAAGGACCAAGCTTCTATCTTCAAAAATACGAAAGTTCATTTTTCTACCAAATACCATTTCCGATCGTTCAGTTATGTGACAGCTATAGGATATAGTCGGCCGATCCTAATGAGGTAGATTGTTGGCGTACCAAATGGCGTCAAAGTCTGAAAAATACGACAAAAATTCAAAAATGTCAGTTTCTTGCGTAAAAATTGTATCCCTTTTGTGGAAATAAATTAAAGATCTATTTATTTTTCATTTTTCTATTTTTTTCAAAAGCTAACTTAACTAATTTAACTATTAAAAAACGGTAACTATTTCAAAATCGGTTTAAAATTACGGGCTTAGGAATTTTTAAGAGCAAAAAATAAATCAAGATTTTGAGGGTGTTAGAAAATTTTAAATACGTTTTTATACTATATTCCTAGTTCCTCCAAAAAATTTTTTTTTGTCGCACTGTGTATTTGATAATAATTTTTTAATTATGAATAATAATAATTATTAATAATTTTTAACTTCATTTGGTAGATATGAAACAAAATTGCATTTACCTAAAAAGTTTTAGTGTACGCAATTAAACGGTTTACATAATCCAAAATTTGATAAATTTCATTTGTAACGTGTACTGTAAAAAAAAAGAAACTAAAAAAAGACGTAAATTTTGTATATTTTTTATTTAAGATGCTCAACCAACAAACAGAATCCCAGAGCTAAAGTTATATGAACTTAGAGCTGAAAAATATAATGGAATGGTACGCCTATTGAAGCCTGGATTTCGCACATTACTTCTGATAACAGATTATCAGACCCGTAAAAAGCTTATTCCTGACTTTCATAAAGCGGTGTGGCCTTACAGGAAAACAAAAACTTTATTGTTTGGACATTTACTTATAGAAAAAGGATTGTCGTGGTATTCGGAACTTCTCCGATTGTCCTTGTGCGAATCCCAGAAACTGCAAGTAAATCCAAGAAATTGCGTGGGTACCGTAATTGCCCTGAATGGCCACCGGAAATATTTTTGTATGTATCATGCAAAGCATCCCGAATCGATTCGTGTGAATAAGGTAAGTTTTTTTGGGAAAAGAAATGAATGAGAAAAGTTAACTTATAAGAATAATTTAAAACTGTTACTCAACTTTCATGATTGTGCAGAAAAAGCTTGAGACTTTTTTTCAGCATTTTTATACCATAACAAGAAAGGAAAGCTAACTTCGGGCGGAGCCGAAGTTTATGTACCCTTGCAGTTAAAACCGGATATATATCGCAAACATCGGATATAGTTGGCCGATCCTTATCTGAATAGGAATATATAATCCAATTTATTACAATACAAAATCTAAAAAAAGTCCCAAACTTCTCTCTTCGAAAATACGAAAGTTGATATTTCTACCAAATACCATTTACGATCGTTCAGTTATATGGCAGCTATGAGATATAGTCGGCCGATCCTAATGAAATTTGGTAGGTTGGATAAACTGATTAAAAATAGAATCTGTATTAAATTCCAGCTTTCTATCTTCAAAAACACGAAAGTTGGGTCATTTCCGATCGTTCAGTTATATGGCAGCTATAGGATATAGTCGGCCGATCCTTATGAAATTTGGCATGACGTAATGTTTTGCCAAAAATAGCTCTCATGTCAAATTTGAACTCTCTAACTCTAAAAACACACAATTTATACCATTTCCGATCAATCAGTTATATGGCAGCTATAGGATATAGTCGGCCGATCCGGGCCGTTCCGACTTATATACTGCGTGCAAAGGAAAGAAGGGTGTGTGCAAAGTTTCAAGACGATAGCTTTAAAACTGAGAGACTAGTTCGCGTAGAAACAGACAGACGGACAGACAGACGGACAGACAGACGGACAGACGGACAGACGGACATGCTCATATCAACTCAGGAGGTGATCCTGATCAAGAATATATATACTTTATAGGGTCGGAGATGTCTCCGTTGCACACTTTTGACCAAAATTATAATACCCTCTGCAAGGGTATAAAAACCATACCTTTTACATGAATGTATCAGAAAGAAGGAATCATCTCCGACCCCATAAGGTATTTTTGATCAGCATCGACAGGCGAGTCGATATAGCCATATTCGTTTGTGTTTCCGTTTACAGTACAGGAAATTTTTGTTCTTCTATTTTCTATATGAAAAACAAATTTCATCGTTCTTTTGGGAAAGATTATAGTGCCACACTATTCTAATGGCTAATCTACACCTAAAAATTAAAATTCATCCAAATCGAACCATTTTTAAAGGAGTTATAGACTTTTTATTCTGCTTCCCTATGGAGTCGCTTTTACCAAGCGCAAAAGTATGAAACAAAAATCTTTTACTTAGATTCTGAGGGTATATAAACTAAATTATTTTTTGAAAAATATTGTAATATTATATTTAATTAAAGGGATAATCCGAGGAATATATGGGATAAGCACATGCGGGTTATACTTTTTACATAAAGTGCCAAAATAATCCAGTTCGTCGAAGTTGAAAATCAGCAACCAAAATGTGGAAAGGTCCTAGTTCACCAGTTTGGTTCTGTTAGGATACTAGACCGTTTAGAACATTGGGATTGATATGAGAAACAAAAGGTAAATCATTGCCCAAGAGGGCTATAAGCAGATGTTCTGGGTGTCCAACTGACTGATAGACTCTTGAAGCACGACTTACGGGTCGAATCACGGGGATAGATCCGAGGGTATATAAAGTGGTGTGTAAAAGATTACGAGAAAGAGTGTTGCTCAGATTCAACGTTACAAATATTTGGTTTTAACTTAGAAGTAAGGCAAACCAACAGTTTCAAATCCTTCTACTAATAACATTGGATTTACAGCGTGTTAGTAAATTTCATTGATAAGGTTGTTTAAGAAAATAGCACGCAGTATCGTTCTACGGTTTGTAGGTGAAAATAAGTTTCAGCTTCAAAGATGTTGCAAATATGGAGTAATTAATTTTTCAAAAAGCAGCGTCTGATTTGTACTCTTTTTTATCTAAGAAAGATAAAAGTATCTAAGAAAGATAGATAGTACTCTTTAGGGGCCCAACCTTTAGAAAAAGTAAAATTTTAGAAAAATATGGGCCATAAATAAGGTTGGCTCCTTTGAGTAAGTGTAAGGCTATTAAAAGTTTACTCTTATTTTTAACAAAGTTATAAAAACAATCCGGAGGTCCGGACGTCAATTGTGTAGATCAGGCCTACGGGAAATAGAATGCGAAACTGAGGCAGTTGGCGGTTTCGGGACACTTGGAAATCCGTAAACCAATTTACTATTAATTCACCTCCAAAAATACCGCAGCACACGCGACGCGATACTTATATTTGTTTAGGGAAAAGTTACTTTAAATTAAGAATAAAACTGGTAAGCAATCAAAACTTTAATAAAAACGCAGTTCGCAGGATAAAATCACGACTCTTCGCTTTAACATAAAGCGATTTATTTAACAACTTACCTTTTTTTGTTTTGGGACAGACTTAGAAAAATTTACGATCACTTCTACAATTTACTTGAACGACTTAATTTTGCGACGGACTCCGTCAGCTAAACGTTTCGGTTTTTTTTTTGCGGTCTTTTAGAATTTTGGAAATGGTGTGTGCATCAATTAGAGCATCAGCTAGCATTCCTGTATTTATCATAAAGCTTAGAGGCCCAAATGACCGAGGGACGCTCGAGAACGATTTATTTGTATATATTAAGCTTTTTTAAATTAATTTATCTAAGAGGAGTTAGTAAGGAAATTTAAAATTCTCAATTCCAAAGAGACCATTGTAGTTCGAACATAAGACACTAAAAGGGTCGTGCTGTGCATGTGTCGAACTACAATGGCAAAGGAATAGAGGACTAAAGATTTTAGTCCTTCTATGACGAATGTTGAAATTTAAACGTGTTAGTATATTTTGCCTATTTACATTCCTATTGATTAGGTTGTAATTACACCGAGTATTGTCCTACACCGAGCATTGTCCTATAATTGGTTAAGTTTGGAAGATGAAGTTTTGCATTCCAGTTAACTCCTCGAAGTGAAAAACTTAAGAAACTCTTTTGATTCTATGTGGTCCTGATAAACTTCATATTGGGGACTCCAGACACATGAACCGTACCATCCAGTATCGGAAGGATCAAAGAAATGAATAAGCTTTTAATAATGTATGGGTCTTTAAATTCTTTTGACCATCTTTGAATGAAACCAAGGACTCCTTTAGCCATTGTGGAAATATGGTCGGCTAATTTAAGTTTGCTGTATAATAGAACGGCGAGATCATTAACCTGAGTTAATTTCTCTAAGGCGATCCCATAGTATGCGTAGCCAGCAGAGGGCAAGAACTATAAAAGTTTAAAAAGATCTTAAAAAAGATAAAAAGACATAAGCTTGCATTTTGATCCATTGAGTATTAAATCATTTGCTAAACACCATTTTTGAAAGTTTTCAAGATCAGACTGATGACTGCATTGGGCAAAGATGGATTTTTATTGAAGACAATTACATCTTCTGCATACATAACAAGAAAGGAAAGCTAGCTTCGGGCGGAGCCGAAGTTGATATACCCTTGCAGTTAAAACCGGATATATATCGCAAACATCGGATATAGTTGGCCGATCCTTATGATTACGTGATAATAAAACCAATTAATTACAATAAAAAATCTAAAAAGAAAGTCCCAAGCTTCTATCTTCAAAAATACGAAAATTAATATTTCTACCAAGTACCATTTACGATCGTTCAGTTATATGGCAGCTATGGGATATAGTCGGCCGATCCTAATGAAATTTGGTAGGTTGGATCAACTGACCAAAAATAGAATCTGTATTAAATTCCAGCTTTCTATCTTCAAAAACACGAAAATTGGGTCATTTCCGATCGTTCAGTTATATGGCAGCAATAGGATATAGTCGGCCGATCCTTATGAAATTTGGCATGACGTAATGTTTTGCCAAAAATAGCTCTCATGTCAAATTTGAACTCTCTAACTCTAAAAACACCAAAGTTATACCATTTCCGATCAATCAGTTTTATGGCAGCTATAGGATATAGTCGGCCGATCCGGGCCGTTCCGACTTATATACTGCGTGCAAAGGAAAGAAGGGTGTGTGCAAAGTTTCAAGACGATAGCTTTAAAACTGAGATACTAGTTCGCGTAGAAACAGACAGACAGACGGACAGATAGACGGACAGATAGACGGACAGACGGACATGCTCATATCAACTCAGGAGGTGATCCTGATCAAGAATATATATACTTTATAGGGTCGGAGATGTCTCCTTCACTGCGTTGCACACTTTTGACCAAAATTATAATACCCTCTGTAAGGGTATAAAAAAACTAATCATTAAAAATAAATGATAGTAGTACGGGACAGAGGTGTTACTTTTTAGAACAACATATCCAAATTTCAGCTAGATCGGTATCATCGAATTTTGTGAATCACCTGCGCCGCACACAAAAATGTCGTTTCGAGAAAAACGCGTTTAAAGTTTATACGCTACCGAGTAACTCATACCATTCGGTGTAGGCACGCTCTCGATTATGGGCTGTATTTCTGTCATTATTTGATATTTATACCCTTAGGTTAGGTTAGATTGAGGCGGCGATAAGGGCCGGGTCTGACCCCCATCCACTTGAGCCGCTGGGGCTCCTTGTGATACCGCACAGGCAAGGATCCTACAAGAGGACCTCTCCCTTCCCATTTCTTATGAGCCCAAGCGTGTTCTACCTTCCTGCGGCGGCTCGCGGTCCCATCCCGATTTAGGGATGAAAGCTACGAGTCTGTGTGGAGCGACCTCCGCGAGGTCTGTTAGGTCTGTGAGTATTGCTGCGCCCAAGAATTTGAGTCGGATGCGCCCCAGCGCAGGGCATTGACACAGGAGGTGTGCGACTGTCTCTTCCTCTTCTTCGACCCCACAGCTCCTGCAGTAGTCATAATGTGGCACCGCTAGTCTAGCCGCGTGTGCTCCTATTAACCAATGTCCCGTAATGTCCTTGATTGCCAGACTACAGTCCTGCCTATTAAGGGCGATGAGCATCATTGACCTCTTCCTAGATCGGATGGGCCATATC